ACTGTGACGTTTGGCAGGGAGGTTGAGACGTGGCTGAGTTGGGGCATTGAGGACCTGCGTCTCACCCTTTGCCTCTTTGGACTGGAAGCTACTGCGCCTGTGTTTCACTGAAGACCTACGTCTTTGTGGGCCACATGGTGCACTGCAGCAAAGGAAGAGTTTAATTAGCTCCATGCTTTGAAAAACATTATGAGTCGTCCAACGACTCTTGAAAATGTTCCTGAGTCTGGTTTCAAAATATTGGATTTGGACTCAGAGGCAAAATATTTTAGACCTAGCTAACTCTTCACTTCTGTGTCAACAAAGGCAAGTTGCCAACATGCTTCATCATTAATCCATCTCAACTCATTGGAGTTAAAGGATTTACTCAGGTTTGCCATAAAAGGTTCTGGAATGATGGTGACCATCTGAGTCATTCTTTGTTGATGATTATCTCAAGCTGGCATCAGCTGCAAACACCACTAGATGACAGTGTGGCTTTAGATGAGTTACCTGAAATAATTATGAAGATAAGCATCAACACGTCTGTCTAGTCGACAGTTCACATATTACATTTCTTCCCCCTTCTTCTTTGCAGGAGGGGGAAGAACTATGATATTCTACATCTCAGCAGAAAGAAACATTTTAAGTATGCTGTGCTTGGGGCTAGATGATTACTGATACGGAAACAGATCTAAATACAGAACTCTGATTTCCATACTGAAAAAAAATATGTTGTAGGGTGAGAGGAAGGGCTTAATCTTGTGGTATAGTAGGAGGCAAAGTGCTATGCAGGTTCTTCAAGTGTTTCTCAGTAGATGAAGCACTGTATTCAATTTTCAGTATGCAACAGAGGAATTTCACACCAAATTAAACATTTGTATGTTTCTTGCATATATTTTAAGTTGATTAACAAATGAAATGGAGAAAGAAATGCAGTATTTTTTTAACAGTCCAACATTCAAACTAGCCATGCTAGTCAGACTTTCAGTCACTGTGGTTAACACCCAAACCATCCACCCTGCAGGCAGGCCGAGTCACACAGACATTTGAGTACACGACTTCATCGACTGAAAGAAGTAAAAATAGAAACACGTTAGTTTATCAAACACACTCACATAAAAGCACACATACATGCATACATGCAGTAATTTGATCTCGTACCTTCTCTAAGAGCTGCAGTGCATCTCTTCTTATTAAAACATTTGAAACTGAGAAACAAGACCACAAGAAGCAGCAGAACAGAGAACACACGATGTTACTGCAACAGTCACATAATATGTGTTTAAAAAATGTTATAATTCCTCTTTAAAATGGTCTTTTACAGGCTTAGGCAAAACCGTATTCCAGAGAAATGTATTTATTCAGCAAACAGCACTTAAAGACAAGGATTAATAGAAGTTTGTAAGAACTAACTACCTGTACAGCTTGTTAGGAGTTTTCCTTCTGACTGACCATGCAGACTGATATTAACATTTGAAACATTCATTTTTTCCACTCTCATCTTTGGTCCGTATTAATAAGTTGCTGTCCAAAGCAAAGTGAACTCCACGTCGTCGCCCTTCGCTGAGCAGCTCACTGACATTTTCTCTGGTGACAGACGTGTTTGACACACAGCAAGGTGTGAAACGGGAGCTGACAGGCAAACACAAAGTCACATTTAGTTAATAAAGTTGACAATAAATGTTCATTTCAATACAACATCTGAACACACCAACACTTTGTATGCAAAATTTTTAAATGTTTTTCTTACCAAGAATGTGAGGATTGAATATATTTGTCCTCGTGTTTGCCAGAGGTGAATGAATCTACTTTCATTTTTGTTTTGACAGTCTTCAATGTCCCATTTTTGAAGTATTTTGAAGTTTTTTCATCATTGATCACATTAAAAATCTGACCTCATTTCTTTTAAGAGTTGTTCTCTCTTCAGGGCCGATAGAAAGTCTCTGATGTTTTATTTGTCCAAGTGCTCCGAAACAGGACAGATCACCAGTTTGGTTTGTTAAATTACATCTAATTGGTCCTGACAAGGGAACAATAGAAACCAAAAACCAATAAAAACCACAGAAAATAATTTGAAATCATCTTAGGTTTATTAATTCATTGTTTCATTGAATACATATAATATAATAAGTTCAGCTTCATGATATGTAATTGTATTTATTGAAACTTGAATATCTGCTTAAAATATTAAATGCACCTTTTGCTGTTTGATGTTCCCAGGACTGTGGTTATTATGCAGATCATCATAATCATTCCAGCCATAAACAGTTGGATTCCATCAAATACATATTTAGAGATGTGGGGGAAAAAAATCACATTTGCCATTAATCTTTAGTTCTTCAAACATTCAGAGCGATTCGGTGGCATAGCAATGAAGGCAAAAAGAGACAAACAAACCCATAGAGATTTTTTTAATTATTATTTTTATTTTAGTTGAACTGTATTCTCACTTCTGCCTACAAGACAGAAAAGGAGAAGTGACCTACGTCCCTGCTGTAGGCGGAAGAGTCACCAGTTGGTATAGAGGCGTGCTTCCACTGCAGGTGAGTGCACATCAATATTTTAACATTGTTTATGGGAGTTTATAAAGTTTTGTAAAATGGCTGCAGATGCTTTCAGTCAGTCCCCAACATGAAGAAATTATATTAAGATATTAAACCAAATACTAGAAGTAGATAAAGACTTCAAGCCTGATGTAATTCCACATAAAATGACAGAGAAATAACATTTATTTATACTTTAATGGGGAACATCCAAAACTATGGTGATGTAGTTAAATGCATTTATTTACAGATAACTGAGCTTAGTTAAGTACATTTAAATTTAGTTTAATATGGAGTCAGTCAAATTTTATGGAAGTATGCTTTCAGTTTAATGTAAAGGCTTTTAGCCATTCAAGCTAAAGCCTTCAAGCATTTTTTGTGTTTTTATTCTGTGCAGTTCTGCCAACAATGGCAGCATTGTTGGCAGAACTGCAATACATTTTTAAACACGTGGAAGATACTTGATCTTCTTTTTTCGCCTTTTAAGAAATTTGCTTGAAGGAGATGAATTTTACTTACATTTGTTTTTGTTGACTTAACTTATAAGATTAATCTTTAAAACTAGATTTTATAATGCATTTACAGCTGAACTGTCCATCACTTTATTCCCTAGTCTCCCAAAATCAAATTTCTTTGGTCTCATTTAACGCTCTTTCTTCTTTATGTATGCATTTTGAAAGACAATGAAATGTCTACTGAATCTACTATGGTAAAATAACTCCAAACCCGAATCTAAAATTTAATTGAAACATATAATAACATATTTTCAATGAGTGTGAGATAATACATTCTTAATTGTCAGATAAAATTGAGATCAAATACTTCATAAAGTGAGGTGAAAATGCTGATATTTAGGTTTATATTTTGCTACATGGGATGAATCAGAAATTCTACACAGTATGTAGCTTCAGCAGGTTTAAACAACTCATAGGGCATGTGGTCCACTATGACCAGATGTCCATGTGACTCAGTAACTCTTTCTGCAAACTGGATGGTTTGGGTTTTAACCTCAATGACTGAAAGTCATGGTTGGTTTGAATAGTGGCCTGTAAAAAAAATACTACATTTCTTTCCCCCATTTCATTTGTTTGTCTACTTAAAATATATGAAACACACATGTGTTTGATTTGGTGTGAGATTCTTCTGCTGCACACTGAACACTGAAAACAATGGTGAGAAACACCTGAAAAAACTGCACTTTGCCTCCAATTATACCACAAGATTAAACCCCTACTCTTCTCTACAACATATTTTATTCAGTATGGAGATCAGAGTTCAGTATTTACATCTGTTTCCTTATACTGGTAATCATTCACCCCAAACACATCATATCTGAAGTGTTTTTATCATCTTTCTGCTGAGATGCAGAAATATCACGTTTCTTCTCCATTCTTCAATTTTTGTTTTTTTGTTGTCATGATGGAAATTTTCAGTAGGCAACAAGCAATGGATCTCAGTTTTACTTGTAACCCATAGTAAGTATTTTAATCTTTTCTCTGTATTATTTCATGAACATAAACTTGTCTAATCTCAGCATATTCATGTTCTTGTACTTCAAATATGGTGAGAGACTAACTTCAGTTTTACCTGGTCAGGTAATTCTTTCTGAAAAGCTCTTGTGAGGATTTAATTTCTTGTGTTTATTTTGGTGTTAATTGAGTCTGTGTTGTCATGGCGACCCCTTGATTGTTCCCAGCTGTGTCTTGTTCCCTCACACAATAACAAAAAGCTAACAAAATGCACAATATTTTGATGTAAACATTAAACTCTAAGTACTGACATTTGTCTGGCTCCATCTGATAAAAGATGTAGCCACTCAGTCGTCATTAACTGAGCAGCTTCTTCACTTCCCTGCAGACCACAGATTAAGGTTTCTGCTAAACCTCCCTGCAGTGAGTGGAAAACTAACCAGCCTCTTCACAGACGAAGATCTTCTATCGCATGCAAGTCTGAATAATATCATTTCTACTCAGGTGAGTTTCACTTTTTATTAAAAATCTACTGACAGTGTAACCGTTATAACCCAACCACATATCTTGTTGAGGGCATTACTTTTATTTTCCAAAAGTAATGTCCTCATTACTTTCTACATTTAAATGTAGTTTAAACTACTATTTTTTACATTAAAAAAAAAAGTAGTTTAAACATTTTTTAAACTACTTACTAACATTACTACTACGGCTATGCAGATCCAACCCAGCTGAATGTTTGTCATTAAAACAAACAACATTTAATATTTTTCATTGTTTCATTTATTTATTTGGATTTTGTTTTGGAGGCTCTGTTTTACACAGCTGATTTAATTGTTATACATTTAGTTTCTTTCTTAATTTGTCCAGCCAATATATTTTTGTTAAAAAATCTTTTAAAAATTTGTATGATTTTATTTGTCTTATAATAATTTTTAGTTTCAATCATATCTACTATACTAATATTTAATCCATATGAAGACATTCATGTTTTGTTTTCTAGAACATGATTGGCATCTTTTATTGTCACATTTCTAAGTCAAACAACAGAAGTGAATGTATTTTGATACACTTTCAAATCTTTACTGCACCAATAATTTTTATTATCTGACATTAAAGAAATAAAACACAATAAACACTGCATATAAAATTTTAAAGATGACACATTTAATTTGAAAGCCATCTTTATTAGAGTTCTTCGCATTCAGCTCCTGTCTCGTTGTAAAGTAAAGCAGTTTTAGAAAGTGTGAGATCTGAGATGGCCGATGGCAGAAAGTCACGGCTCTGAGTGTTTAGATTGAAAAACAAGATAAGTATTGTGAAATTTGAGGGTCTTGATGACACACTATCATATATTACAGTCTGCAGAGATACTTATGAATATGAAAAACCTCTTCGTCTTTGCTGATGCCATTAACAGGTTTATGTTTTAAAAGCTTTTTAATGACATGGGAATTAAAATCAGAACACAAAGCAACTTGTTTCTGTCTAGAAAACATTTAATTCAAATCATGCACACACTATTAACTAATATGAGCCTTTTGTTAAAGATTCCTCTGTAAAACAAGAGATTGATTAAAAAAGGAGAGAAAACTTTTGTTCATCTTCACTAAACCAGATGTGGGTCGATTTGCTGAAAACTGTGTTGAAGTTGAAATGGTGATAATTCAATATATTTTGATACAAAAAGAAACGAAATGTAGTCATCCACAAAATTATTCAAGCAAGAGTAAATATTAAAAAGCAACTTAAGTACAGAGAACTTTGATCAGATTTAATTTGTGGACATGATGTAATTATACAAACAAAAAATGAAATTATGCGCAGGTGCAAGAATTAAAAACAAAAACTTGAAGAAATAAATCCCATAATCGCAAGAATAATACATTTGTGCAGAATAAACTTATTTTCTAATATCATTTTCTCCAATAAAAACATTTTTTAAGTAATGTGTAAATGATAGAATGATGCCGCGTGCTTCATCAGAAGCGCCACAGGATGATTTACGTCTTAACTAATTTCACAAGATTTCTCCATGAAGTCATTGTATTTCAAATGATCCAAAATGTTTATCGAAAAGCTTCCAAAGTGATAACATCACCTTGGTTTTATGAAAACGACTAGGCACATCATTCTTACATCCCATGTCTATTCTTAGTCCATGAAAACTTCTGAATTTGAGTTTTAAAAATATATTTTGAAGGATTTTCTAAATGTGTCTCTAATTTGGTATTTAAGGAAACAAATAATGTTGATGATTCCACCTGAACTAATATGGTAACAAATTAATCTGTTTAAATGTCAGTGGTTTGTATTTGGATAAAAAACATGTTATCTATAATTATTTGATCATAATTTTTCTTGTGTTCACAGAAAATGATTTTCATCTACATGATGATGACATTTCTGGCTCCAGTGATCTTAGCAACAGGTACATTTAACTCAGTTAACCAAGTTAAAAGTTAGTCAAACCAGATCATTTAGAATTGTTAAATTCAAGATATTAAATGAAATTTGCTTCAGGGTCTTATTTTGTAATCCTACTGATATTAGTTGTCATTTAATAATACTTAGCAAAAGCTATATTTATATATTATTTAAAAATGTTGTCATTTATTTTGTATGGATGTTTTCATTTCAAATAAACATCAGTGACAATAAAGACATTTCAATATTTTCTTGTAACTTTGTGATTTGCTTGTTTTTAATCTTTTTTAGGGATATTGGCATGTAATATAACTCAATGTGATAAAGAATGTCAGTGTTATGGAGCAACTGGAGAACCTCTCATATTTTACCTTCCAGTTCATACAAGGATTAAGTTGTTGAAAAATAAAGAAGTACTTTTCAAATGTGGAGACAACACATGTACGAAAACAACTTTGAACTACATTAAATCCTGTGAATTAGCCATAAATAGAACACTGACATGTGAGCACACCAAAAAGACTGATTCTGGAGTTTATCAGCTGGAGCTATTTGATTATTCTGGAATAAACATCAAAACAATCAACATCAATCTTCAGATTATAGGTAGGAACATTATTATTAGTTTTGTGCTGTGCATAACTTATTTTATCTTCAAAGGTATATAAATGCATTTCATTAGAATGATTGTGTTTTACAGTTTAACCCATGGAATATTAAATAATGCAGGAAAATAATTACTTTTCTTAAATGATGCACAGAAAAACAAAGTTAACAATCTTAACTGTGTTTGTCTTTCAGCTCCAGTTTCACAACCTGCCATGTTTCAGAAATGTTGGTCACCAGAGCAGAGGACAGTCAGCTGCTCAGCAGAGGGAGAACACACACACTTCTCTTTTTCTCTGGATAATAATCCGTTACCACACACTAAACCTACCAGTGAAAATAATGGAAGTGTCACCATCAGTTTAAATGGTCAACTGCAAGGAAACCTGGAGTGTAAAGTTCAGAACAAGGTCAGCAGTAAACAGATCATCGTCCATCTTTCAAGTTGTGAAGGTAATGTGTTTTATTCTTATATTTAGTTTGATTACTTTCCATTTTGTTTCCATTTTCTGTAAAAAGGGCAGTGTTATGTAAAATCAACTAATTATTTCATGCATGTTTGAGAAATCCTTTAATCTCCATGGCAACCCTTCACAATGCTTTCGAAGTGCAGCTCCTTTGCAGAGTTAATCGAGAAGCCATGTTGTGAAGACTTCCTGAACAGGCAGAGCATTAGAAAGATCAGGAGTTTCTTAAAGAGACAGAGGCCCAATTACTAGGAGTTAAACTGCAATGTCAACTTTCTATAAAATACTAGAAAATGGCACTATGTGGTTGGAAAACATAAAACTTTCCCTTTAATTCTTTTCACAAATTGTGCAGTTCTTCCAAATAAAATGCTCTGCATAATTTATTCTTCCATTTCCATATGAAAAAGTTTTAATGGTACGTACATATTTCTCATGACTTGATGTCTGTTTTTATCTAGAAACACGTTTTCCAGCTGTGATCGTCTTAGCAAGTGCAACCGTTCTGCTTCTTCTTTTGGTTTTGTTTCTTGGTATCAAACTGTTTAAAGTGAAAATAAGAAGAAGCCCCACAACTACCACAGAAGGTGAGAAAATAACATCACTGAAATATTTTTTATCCTGAACAGCAGTAATACTAATGGACATTCCTTATGTTGTGTCTATTTTGCTTCTTTCAGGTGATGCTGAGGAGGAAATAGTTTACTCAGATGTCAGAGTGAATCAGGCTGCCAGAAAGAGGGATGGTTAGGATGCTGAGGACCATGAAGGAATGGATAATCGTCACCTCTGAACATGAAGCCTTTCATTTCAAGTTTAAACATGGCAGCAGCTCATGAACAGAGCTACAAAGAAATGAAACAAATACTTGTGAATAGATCAATAATTAGACATATATTTAGCTTTCTCTCTTCCAGTACAAGTACAGTATTTTAAAAATCATCTGTGTTTTATGCATCAGTCTCCATATTCTAATGTTTAAGGATTATTGTTGTATATTATTTTACATACAGAATATGTATTTTAAACATTTTTGCATTTTGTTAAAAAACAGTGACATCAGATTTCAGTGGGGGTGAGACCATGTAAGAATGTTGAAAAAAGTCAATAAAATTCACTATAAAATAAGTTGAATCTGTTGAACAGGAGTAAGTTATTTGTGATTAGAGTCTGTTTCATATGCAAGTATGAGGATCACATAGAAGAAAAAAGTATGGGACTAGTATGTATTTGGTCACTGTTCAGAGATTAAAGATGAAATGACACAAAAAAGTTTAATAAATAGAAGAGCAATAAATTGGAAATGGCACTGAATAAAGATCAGTAACAACCATAACTTGTGTAAGTGACTGAATCTATTTATTAAAATAATATTGACCTAGTGTGGGTTTATCCGTTTCATGAAGGCCAAACCAAAGTCACAGACTGTGCAGGAAAATCACAAAAATAATCCTCAAAAACACAGGAAAGAGAGTTAAATTCAGTCTAACGAATCACAACAACATTCTTTTCAAAGGAATGTAAATTTTGCATTTCATTACAAATCAAGGCCCAGAGTCTAGAGGATTAGCAGGTAGTGTTGATGTTCCTTTTCCACAGTGATGATGTGTCTGTTGGTGTTGGTCGGCTGAGTTTTATCAAGAGCAAAGCAAGAGCAGAAAGATAATGAACAATTACAGAGCAGTTGATGTTTCTTTGTGTTTATCTGGTTTATGGAGAGGCTAATTTGAGCTGTGAGCCATAATAATCACAATAAGTTGAAATAAATACTTCGCATATATCACTTTGTGTGACGAATTTGTATTATGCAAATATCACTTTTTGAACGTAATTACTAAAAAAAAAATATTATTCTGATTTAAGATTCATAATATTTTTCTTTGTGCATCGTGTATTATATAAATCTAATCTTCTAAAGCACAAAAAACAGAGTTTTTTTTGTGGTCTGTAGTGTCATACCCAGAGCTAACAGTAGATGGCGGTAGTGACTGTCAGCCATCTGCCAGGTTCTGTACTCCCACTTACTCTCTTCTCTGTTCACTTTGTGAAGAGCAGCTGTTTGGATGTTGACAAACATGGATCATTGGATATTTTTTTATTGCATTTTCTCTTTGAAATTAAAATAAAGTTTCCTGCATCTGCCCTTTCTATACTTAGTTTTGCTTAAATAATCATGTTTGACCACGTGGTGGCGACAGAGATCATCATAGGTAATCTGAGAGTAACCTGCAGTTTTGTTATCAATCTATTTTCATTCACTGCTTTTTCACCCCACCTTTGTCAAGTTTCAGGTTTTACACATATTTATAATGTGCTGAACTAAAATTGAAGTAAGACTATTTATTTATGTAAAAAACATTTAGAATATGTTTTTGGGAAAATGTTCTCTAATATTGAATATTTCTCACTGATATCTTCAAAAAGCCTTGATACCGCTAAATGCTTTTGCATTTTGTCTCATTCCAATGAAAATCTTTTAAGTGTTTTTCAACCGGTAGCTCATCACAAAATGATGCATAATTTTGAAGTGAAAGGAAAATGACATGTTCAGCTTTCTTTTCTACATATAAAACTCTAAACAGTGGATTTTGAAGCTTCATCTCACCCTGGAAAATCTTGTCCTGTTGCCATCAGGACTCATTTTACGGTGGAACGAATCCACCTGTGACCTAATTAGGAAAGTTTATTCTGTGAAGGAGAACTGCACAGAAACTCCAAATTAGCAACAGATTAGATGTTTAAAGACTTTTGGAAATGAGACAACAGATTAAACTGTAACTTAACTTTAACAAATCCTGTTCATTTATATAAGGGCTTGTAAAACAAAAAATCCACAAAACTCACAGCAGGGCCTTCCACTGGTAATTAACATTTTTCTGGTTGATTTGGATTGCCCTTTTAATAAAATGTGTTAATGAAAACTAGAATGCCATCTCGCCACATTTATTTAATAACATTTCCTCTGACCTTTAGGGATAAATACTGTCTGTCAGCTCAGAGAGTAACTGTGGAAGATGGACTGGGGTGGTTTCATTTGCAAAGACTGTAAAGTCACCCACACACATCCGTGGAACAAGACCTCATCCTCACATCATTAATTACCCCACACAAAAAACTCCACTGCAAACCACATGGTTCGTGTTCTCTGGAGCTGCCCTGCTCTAGAGAGGTGGAGTCTCCTTTAGTTTAATTGGTGCTATATATTTTACTCTGTGCTTTTCTTCTTTCTTCTCCTCTTTATAAAATAGTAGTTTTACATCCTCTTCATCAGATCATTTCAATGTTTTAAAAAATAATATACATTTAAGTAAATCATTTAGTCACACCTCTTTTATGAATCTGGCTGTGGTTGAATTTACAATGATTACTTGAATCGTCAATCATTTTCCCATGTGCACAAAACGGCTGGATGAGCCAGCTTTCACTCAAGACCAAAATATTTGAAGATATCTTTACACTGAAGTCATGAGGAGCAGCGCCTGCAGGTTTTCATCGTTCTCTCCTTGCCACTCTCTTTCTCTCTGCCTGCTGTGTTTTTATAGGGTGACAGCAGAGAAGAGAGAAGGGCTTCCCTCTGCTGCAGGACGTCCCAGCTCTGAAAACATGTGGCCTGGGAGTAATTGGGTTACAACTGCAGCAGTCCAGTGAGCTGGCCTTGATTTGGAGAATGACTCCATTTACTTTTGTCTAACAGTCTGCTTCTACCACAGCTGCAGCTTTTATCCTGCTTTGACATTTGGACTTTTACTGTTTAGAAGTGGAAGAAGTCCAGGTGAGAGAGTGGAGCAGAGTCCCGCTTTAAAACAAATCCACACATTCAGCAAATATGGTGACAGAATGGAATAGGCCATTATTATAAAACAGTCTATAGCACATGGCGCATTGTAATGTAATGCCAAATGGATCCAATTAATTTGGAAATCATGCTTTACAGATTTAAAGATTTAAAGTTATTGCTAATTATAAGTATTAAAACACATTTTTGAGCCTTATATGATGATCAGTGTCTTAAAGAGGAGGAGCTTCTTAAAGAAACAGAGGCTCAATTTCAAGACATCAAATTACAAAGTCAAATTTAAGTCATGTTTGATATGTTGAGCATTTTTAACAACTGGAGGTAAAACAGTTAATATAAAATGACCTGAAAAATGCATGACACCAGCCTGCCCTCCTGTGGGAACCACTGAAAATACTTGACATTTAAAAATGAGTGTTTCAGTTTTTTGTCTCCTATAACAACTGAAGTTTAAACAACATCTTGTGTTTGTGTGGCATAAGCTCTTCTAACAGCATCAAAACATTCCTAATCTCAGTACTGAAAGCAAGACTAGTGTAAAGAGAACTGATTTAATTGTCCTGTTTAAATGTCATAATATTTCTTAGTATATTTTTGTTAAGCTGAGTTCATGAAGAGTGAACACAGTTTGAAGTAAAATGTTCTGACTGAACAGCTGAAATTAAACACATTCAAGTGAACATTAAAGCAGGTTTTAAAAGCTCTTCAGTTCATGAGTTTTTAAATAATCAAATTTACTTTAAAGTCAATATTCACACAGAAGGCGTTTCCTGTGAAACCTATAATAAAATCAGACCATGTTAGTTTAAAAAAATGTTACTGAAATAAACTATACATTTGTTGATTTGTTGTTCAATAATACACATAACTTCTCTTTTTCACTATTCTGCAGATTAAAACAGGACTTTTTGTAATTTTATTTTTGTCTTGAAAAAGTAACCAACCCACAATATGCTAGTACGAACTCTAAAGTGGAAACATGCACAACTTAAAATTCCACATTTTATAATAACTTTTCCCACTTTTAATCTGTTATATGTTAGAAAAATAATAAATCTTTTTTACTTTGCCAACATAATGTTCTTTCATGAGGGATTGCAATATTTCCTTACAGGCGCTGAGAACAAAAGGTGATGTACCAGTTAACCTTCCTTCCACGTCAATATTTCAAAAATGTCGTTTTTATCTTGTGTCCTTCCTTGCCTTTTTGTCTTTATGGCGATATTATAACACACCCTACCAACTGACCATCTCTTTCCACATTTATGACATCAGAGGTCAATCTGTGGTACGATCACCAGATCCCCCAGCTTCATTCTGCACATCCTGCAACAATGAGCTCTTCATGAGCCAAGGCTGAGGCAGAGAGCTTCCTTCTGCCATCCATCTTCCTAACCGGAAATGTTTCTACCAATTAAAACAGGCCAGCCCCTCCCAGTCTTCCTCCCGTTTCCCTTTGCAGCACAGAAGCTGTTTAATCGACAGCAGCTGGAAATAAGATTAAAGAGCGTTTGAGGTCAGTGAGCCCGGTGTTCAGCGTGACGTAGTTAGTTCAGCTCATGATGGTATATAAATGTTTCAGGATGTTTCTGTGCAGTGAAGTTACAGCTAAACATTTCTGGAAGACAAACGTAGGTTAGCACACTATGAGAAATACTATTGTTACTAAGCAACTCAGGTATACTGACTTCTTTTGATAAAGTTTCAGCAAAATTTACCAATGAAAAAAGCTAAAAAAATAAAATAAAATACACAACAGATAAAAGAAATTAATACTTAAATGCTTTATATTTTCCTGGCAATTCAAGCTAAAATAAATCCTGACCAGCATGTTGCAGCCTGGGTCAGTATGTGTTATGACTGCTGTTATACTGACAAACTGAAAAGAGAAGAAGTTACATCACATTGTCAAAAAGCAAAACTAAAAACAGTTACAAATATGAAATAATAAATAGGGAAACAAGTACAAAGACATAAATGTGAGCTGGCTTCTTCATGTGGGGCAGCTGATGTTACATTTTGCTTTACTGCCTCACTGTAGTTTACACTGATGTTGAATAAAAATGGATGTATTTAACATTAACTGAAGTAACGTGTGGAATGATGCTGATCTTTTAAATCTTTGCTCCTATATGAAGTTTCCAAAGCACAAACCCTCCCAGATACTGTCATTCTAACTCCAGCAGGCTAACATTACTGCGTAGAGGAGAACATAATGCCTGGTTTGACTGTGGAAAGCTTGTATCTGAAGTATTTCACTGGCCATTACGAGCTTCAGTTTGCTTTTCTGATCAGATGTTCTTGGCTGCAACAAAATGTCAGATTTTGTCATTGTTTGTGGAAAAGACAAATAGAACGTTACAGCAATTCTCCAGAATTAAAGCATTATTTTTGGTTTTTAGTAAAGGCAAAGGTGTTAGAAAATTAAAACCTCAGACATTTGAAATCACTTTTTATTGAGCTCCATTATCTTCTTAAAAGATTTTTCAATTTGAATCCAAGTCCAGAAAGTAGTAGGTCAGTCTCATAATTTAGATTTTTTTCATTACAGGAAAAAGTGTTTAAACTCAGAAACATGAAAAGGGCAAATAACACAAGAGGAGCCCAGTGAGCACTAATAAAATGACTGATAGTCAGCAAAGAACCGGCGTTGATCTGGAAATGAGCCCAGTGAACTGAAAGCTGTTTGCTTGGGAGGTGATTAGTAAACAAGAAGCAGGTGGCTGATTGCTAACAGGCTGCAGCTGACGGGGAAAGGAAAGGGGAAATACACAGAAGAGGCAAAACCCTGATCAAAAACTCTGGGTATAAACATGATTTTTTTTTTCTTTATTTTACTGTTCTTCTTAATGTACAATAATAAAAAAACTTACTTTCAGTTCTACACCACTCAGCAGTTTCACCCAGCCATGAACAAACTATAGCAGATAAAATATAGCTAAAAACAGAATCACCTAAAAACAAGAGAAGTTAATGGATGTCCATGTGAGAGGACGACAGTTTGGGTAAACATGACCACAAAATGACTTTTAGAGGAATGATTCATATCTGTACCATCTACACACTAATCACTACTCTGCTTTAATGCACTGCATTTTAACTTAGTTCTAATATTTCCAAAGACTTCATCTTTCAACTGGAAATTGGAAGTTTTAGAATGCAAATAAATCATCTGTTCAACTGAGTTTGACTTGAAAAGGAGAGACAAGACCACAGTTAAAGTTTCTGTTCTTATTTTTCAGGCCATCAATCAGCAGGAGAATGAACTGAGTCATCTGGGCTGCAGATCCTGCTTTATTCATCAACATTTACTGCCAGAATTTACTCCTGACCAAAAGTGAAAACCTGTAAGACTTTGAAGGCTGGACTTTAACAGGCCTCTATAAAAATGTTCTGAATGCAGTCGCTCATTTCTGGACACTTTTAGCTTTTGCAGTATTATGTCTTTATGCAAACGGTTTGATTCGAGATACTTTGTCAATTCAAAACAAAGTGATGATTTTAAAACTTGTTTTATATAATATGTCTCAATATCTAATTTAGCAATAAAATCATCTTCATGAATCTAAAATCATTTTTCAAATAATCTAAAACCTGATGTATTTTATGTCAACATGTAACTACTGAAAATAAAATCAGAATAAGTTTTATGACCTTCTGACGGCTTTTCCTCTCTTTCTCTTCCTACTCATAATCAGAATGCAACACCAGAGGTTACTGACAGTAATAAGTACATTTTGTATTTCAAACTGAGAACTCGGCTTTCTGTCTTTCCTTAAACAACTTGGAGGTGGGGGTTGAGTGTGGCGTATTTTCCTGCAGTCAGTGACAGGACAGCATGATCATAGCAACAAGAGAGCGCTGCCATGCTGTGATGAGATTTTAGCTTTTACATGAGAGCAGGATGGTCAGTTGTTCCCTCTGCAGCTATAGGCTCTCCCTTTCAACATCAAGGACCTTGATGGTTTGACATCACAACAGTGAATCGCTGCTCTCACTGTGGAAGTGTTGAGCTTCAGAAAACAGCTGGGGAAGAGTAAATCAGTGGCCTGAAGGCAGACACCTTTCCTGTCCTGGAGTTTATCCACATCTGGTAAAGTGTTTAACGTTGTGATTTGGTCGATTGGTACTGAGCCTGTTAGCATTTCTGTCACTTTTGCAGTTACTACCATTACATCTTTAAACCATCCTTTACTTTTTTCATGCTTTGATTCTTGTTGTAAATTAAGTGATTTTGCCTAAACAGGTTTTGACAAGATTGCCAACAAAGACCCTTTATGAACTGCTACCAGGCCCCAGAGATATTTTTCATGATTACACATGTGAAACATAACATTATCTTAAACTTCTACTAATGGATGTAAATCTGAAAGTCTTGGCTGAAGATCTCATACTGATTCCTTGGGGCTCCTTCTATCACACCTCAGTGTTCGCAGCACAGCCATGAAGAACCTGTGATAACTTTGGAAACAAACAAAACCTTTAATACAATAATGAAATGTGAAAAGAGGCTTAAATATAACAATGATTTGTTCCACTTTTTTATGTGTGACACAATCTGGCCTGTGGTTTTGTGAGTCTCATGTTTTGCTCCAAGTAGGTTAGCGGAGTTTCCCAGCTGCAAGTCTAGATTTGATTTGCTGAATTGGAAAACCAACAGAAAATATAGACTCTTGAATGCACATAAATCAGACTGAAAGTTGTAAATTTAAGTCATAAGACTAAATATGAAAATGAGCTCATGTGAAATGATGTAGCTCTGTGGCTTCATGCAGTCTATTTCCCACAAGTCTGAGTTCATTCAACATTATGTCATCTTAAAACAACTGCAATTATAAAATCCCCAAATTTACATGCAGATTGATAGCTGTAAACTGTGGGAGTGATCCTCACTTCTCTTCATTTAGTGAAATATTCACATTCAAGCACAAACCAAAGCAGAACGACGAGCCTCGGGGGGTTTTGACTCTTTGTTCTCCAGAGAAGCTCAACCTCATGCTTGATTTAAACAAGGAAACAAAGTCTGAAGTTTAGAATAATAACCACTGCTTCACATTAATCAAACATCAAGTTGTGCATTAGCCTGTGCTGTAATGGCAATTTAAAGATTAATTGACTGTACATTCCCAGCAAGCTGTAAAAAAATGACTCAGGCAAGACACTATCAAGCTTTAATGATGCACTTAATGCACTGAAATGATGAAAATGTGTTGGAGCCTTGCCATCCTGATTTCACGTTTCAATAATCTTTTAGTTTGGTTTCACCTCAATTCAATGTAAGCTGAAGCGTCCTGAGAATTGTGGATGATTGTCACAAACCGCTCTGGTTTGGCTGCACCATCAAACATTTTCACCTGGATCCTCCCAGGTCCAGCTCTTCTCTAGAGTTTTACACTGAAATCCATCAGAGTGGACTTAAACACAAGTGCTGTAAGCATCGTGTGTAAACTTTAAAATGTTGGCTGAAAATGTTTTCTTAAACCTTTAATAGGCAACCATTTAAAAATAGTTTAACTTTGACCCCATGTATGCTAGATATCAGCTTTGCACCTTGTATATTAATTTTGGTGTATTACAGAGACCCCAGATCCAGAACTGGCAGAGTTACTGTAATTCTGCATTTATGTTTTCATACAGGGTAATATTCTTTTAAAAATCATTGTTCATTGAGAAACTTCTGAAAAAGCAAGAAAAAAACCTACTTTCATCTGGTATGTATAAATCCCTGGTAATTTCCATCCATAAAACCTTGTGTGGGTAGGAAACCCAAAGCTGGCTCCGGCCCATTCAGCCAAATCCTCTTGGATCCAGTCCTGAGCACACCAGACGGACCTAATTTTTTAAAATTTATTGAGCCTTTTATCCATCTTTTAGGCTTTGGCTGTTTGTTTGTAAAGCAGGAATTCAGGCTATCTGCTGGAAAACAGTAAATGAAAGTGCTGCACTGGCAGAATAAACAGGTAACGACCACAAAATGATGGGAAAAGAACCATAAAACATGCTTAAAACCACAACGGGTCAGCAAGACGGGAATAAAAACAGCATCAGAAGAGCGGCCAACTGGACTATATATAGACATAGAGGATGATAATGACTAAACTGATTCAGGTGTGATCATTACAACGGCTGTGTGGCAGGACAAGACAAGAGGTTAACTATGCAGGAAGAAAACAGCAGATCAAACTCTGTGAACCAACTTTCAGAACAGAGGTGAAAACTTTAGCCGACTCCGCTGAAGAGTTGCTCATAAAGACAAAAAGTTTCAGTTAGTTAAAAATCTGTCACTTCCTGTTGTGTTTTTATAACTCTGGTCATCCCACTAAATTACTGAAACTGATCCAAAGGCTATGACCGGCTTTCATATTCAAAGACTTCTTAGTCTGTCAGATTTAAGAAAATTGTCAAAGCAGCAAAAAGAAAGGAAAACAAAATAAAAACAGAATTAGAATGTGTTTCTTCTAAGCCTTGTAATTCCTCAAACATTCTGGATTGAATTTGTCTTTTGGTCACTCTGGAGCTAAACTCAGACAAAAGAAAAATCACTTCAGTCAAACAATAACAACACGAAGAAATAATTATTTATTTTGATTATTTCTCAAACCTGGTATGAATAAAATAGGTCAACCAAAGTCACTGTTAACAGAAATGAGAGAAAATGAATTTCCATGTTAACTCCTGACATCCTGAGCCGGTCTTTGCTCAGAGTGCTACGACATGAGCCATCTGTTTGGTTTTCACATTCTTTCTCCTTTTGTTTAAACAGACTTGAGAGAGCAGAGATGTGTTGCATATGTTTGAATTCCAGCAGATAATTTAGTCCGGTCAGTCTGCTGACCTGAAGCGGGTCACTCTGGATATTTATATACTTTAAGGTAAATGGAAAACCTCCACAGATTTCCGTCAAAGATAAATATATATCCTCACTGCCTAATGAACAAACACAGTCTCCAAAACCATGAATCTTCTCCCAGATTTGTTTTAGAGATCTCGTCCAATGTTTGTGAATTTTCAGTAGTGCAAAATCTGTTAAATAAACCTAAAAGACAAGTTGTCAGGACGCTTTCCAAACACGTCATTTTTATATAGTTGCCATTTTTGTTTCTTTTTCAGGCTGATAGTTGAGCATAAATGAATTCAGTTCGAAGCGGGGTCAGATGGGAACATTGGGAAATAATTCTGTCACAGTTGCACTGTAAGCACTCTGATAGATTTAGTCATGCAGCATGAAACAACGATGATGTCCACAGAATGGATTCTCAGTCGTTTTCTGTCCAAATAATAACTTGTAAATGACTCTCCAAATTTATGATCAGAAATGGAAAAGCTCTTTTAGGTAAGACTTGAAAGTTCTTCAGGAACAAGAAATACAACCCAGTCAGGATTAACTTGTCATGAATGACGTTAAACTGCTGCATGGTTGAAGTCTGCTTTAGAGTGAAAGAAAATCTCATTTGGTTGAGAAATTCATTTTTACTGCAGCACAAAACAGTAAATTCATCAGCCACAACATTAAAGTGTCAAATGTTGTTTAGTTGATCCTGCCATTGCAGCCATGAGTCACCAGGGCAGGGACACCGAGTGCCCTGCAGAGTCTGCCACCATAAGTGTTGGGCTGCAGATAATTTAAGGCCTGCTGGTTGAGAGTGTAGAATCACACGAGTTCAGTCTGAGCGTTATCCCTTCAAAGGGCCAACTGGACCGTGAAAGTGGCTGACAGGAGCCATAGAGACGTATGTACGACTCCATGGAGACAAAGTGAAGGCCTGGTAATCTACCAAAAGGATTATCTTACAAACTACCTGTAAACGACTCAAATGTTCAGCTTTTTCTTTACAAATCTATGACTATTTCCACAAGTATTCGCAGTTTTGCATTTTAGTAGGATGCCACTTAGGATTTTACAGAAGTGGAGCAAAGAAATATTTGACAATTTCTTCTTCACACTCTCTTTTTATTGCCCTGAATGTTTCTAAAAGCAGAGGCGGTCATGAAAGTAGATTGATTTTACGTCTGATGAATCCCTCCTGAGTTGGTGTGCATTCTGT